GGGGATGAAGGGAGTCCTGTCAGCCTGTCCTGACTGTCACTCCACAATCCATAACCCAGCACAGAAGGTTTGTTGGAGTTAGAATGTTTCTAGGGAGTTATCTAGGCAGAGCCCACAGGACTTGGGGGACATCTGAAGTTCTCGAGCAAGTTTTCATGCATTCCCTTTTCATGCATTCCCTTTCCTTCCCAATGACCTCTCACATGTTACCCAGAAATTTGTCCCCTGGACCCTCCTGCTGTGTGCCACCTGGTCCCAGAACCTAGTTGCAGAAGCCTGGTGCAGACAGAGTCCCCACGAAGGGAATAGGAAAGGACCGTTCCCATCCTGCAGCCTCAGCTCTGGTGCTGGGCCCACGCCCGTTCCCTACCACACCCTGCTCAACACGCCACCCCTACTGATCCAGTGCTCTTGAACCCCGCATAATCAGATTTTGATTTCAAGACTCCTGTTGTGTGACCAGATATATGGGCACCTCCTGTGCCCTCCAAAATCCTTCCTCAGACATACCCAACGTCTCTAGTAACTGACTGAATTCTGATGCGGAACTTGATGTTCAGACAAGTCAGGAAATTGTGGCAAGGCCCACGTTGTGCCTGTTCTCCGAGGCTCTGTAGCCAGTCTGGTCTTAAAGGAGGAGCTCACAGAGGCAGCTGGTGCAGAGGACCAGGGAGGTGCCCCAGTGGGACCTCAGGCTCCTCACCTGTGAGATGAGCCGACATCCCTACCCAGAGAGAGGGTGGAAATGGGGTTAGGTGAGATGGAATCGGCTGTTGCTCAGCATGCTCCAGGCGATGCAGAGGCAGCAATGGAGCGGGCTGGGCCAGCGGGCTGGGCTGAGAAGCACCCTCTTCCAGCAGGGCTTCTCTGAGCCTGTCTGCTCTACACTGGGGGAAGAAGATGGCCCGCCCCACCCCTGCTCTCCCTGTTGTTGTGCCCCGTGTGCATAGGGACAGGCTTCCACCTGCTGATGACTCTCCAGCTGCCACTCGTTTTTGTCAGTTGCACAGTCCAGAACCACCCTCAGAGCACCCGGACTTGCTGTGGTTCTGACGACGACTTCCTCGACCTGGCGGGGATCCGAAGGCGAGACAGGCACACGCGGACAGAGAGAGGCCCTGACTCAGCTCTGGTTCAGGCAGATACCTGGACGCCTGGGGTGCTGCTCAGAGCTGGAGGGTCCCAGTCCTCAGCACTCACCTCCTACCTGCGTCCTTCCCCTCTGACAGTGGCACCTATCACAACCCACCCAGTAAGCAAGCACATCCCACCCACTTCAGCTCCAGCATATGTTGACATCTGGCCAATCAGCAATGCCCACCCTCTGGCTAGGAATTACCTCTGCTATGGGTTGCTTCAAAGAGTCAAGAAAGAGGGAACCTCTGGTCCTGGGAACCCTCAGAGCTTGGGCAGAAGCCTAAAACTGCTTGGCCTGAGAGAGAAAGGCTTACTCCCAAGGAGAACCGAGGAGGGCTGAAGGACAGGACACTAGAGTCATAGGAATGCCTACGCTCCCTCTTTGACACGGCCAATGGTGATGTCCTTCCTCCCCGAGGCCGCTCACCAAATCTTGTGCTCCTTGCCAGCTCCAGGCAGAGAAGTAGGCCAGGAAGCTGGGACGGGAGGAGGCTAGACTCAGGAGGAGCCTGAGCAGGGGTGGAGGGCGGGGAAGGTCCAGGAAGGAAGGTCCAGGAAGAACCCCTGAGACAGGGGAAGACAGTCCGGAAGCAGGAGTGGGATACGGAAGCTGCACTGCACACACCGGCCTGTGGGCCTCACGCTCTGATCCCAGAGAAAACTCCTATTGAGCCACACCCCAAATTCTGTCCCACACCTGCCAAAGCCTGGAGCTTGCCAGAGCACAGATGTGTCCAGCTGTGCAGACGGTACAGGCCTACTTCGCTGCTAATGAGAAGAAGTCCTCCTGCCAGGCCTGTCGTCCGTTATCAGCCCATTACGGGTGAGCCAAGTCTTGTGAGTCAGCCTCCCGGGGCTCAGTACCAAAATGAGCTGCTCCGTGCTGGGGAGGGGGTGGCAGGGCAGCTGGAGGTTGAGTCAGCCACAGTAGGATTTTGGTTGTGTGTCAGGCATCCTCTGCAGGGGAGGAGAAGGGAGGCATGAAGGGGGGAGAGGAAGCAGGGTTATGACAGTGGAGCCTGTGAAGGCCTTTGCCGTGGAGAACTCTTCATTTACCTGGAGGCCATGGGCCTTAACTGGGTGTCCAAGAAATGGCCCATGTGGCAAGTGAGATTGCCACCTCCACAAAATGGCAACATTTAACCTGGGCTGGCCTAGACTCTGGAGCCGGCTAGTCTGGCTGCCTTCCTGAGTCCTCTCTCTAGCCCGCATGGGCTCTGAGCTCCATGCTGCCCCCTACCTGCCTTGACCTTGGGAAAGTCTCTCTACCCACGCTCTACTTGAGGCTCTATCATGCTTCTCCCTGCCCTTGTTGCCTGCCCTCTGTTCTCTCTCGGCTCATCTGCTGGGCCACCCAGACTGTGAAAGTCAATCTGGCAGCTCAGTTAGAAGGAGTCTGTCCCCAGGTCCAAGGCTGTCCCCTCCCCTCCATAAAAGATGACTCAACCCTGAACTCTCAGCTGCTATGGGGAAGTGGCAGCCATAATGGATGACTCCAAATGCTTTGGGGACCACAGAGCCTGCTGAATATACACTAGCAAGCCAAGGGCTCATGTGTCACCACCCTGTCTTAGTTAGGGCTACTACCACTGAAGAGACACCATGGCCACAGCAACTCTTATAAGGGAAGCATTTGTGGTGGCTCGTTTACAGTTCAGAGGTTCAGTCCGTCACGGTGGGGAGCGTGACCAGCACACAGGCCGGCATGGTGGTAGAGAAATAACCAAGTGTCCTTCATCTTGCAGGCAACAGAAAGTCAACTGACAGCCACACTGTGTGGTACCCTGAGTATATGAAGCTTCAAAGCCACCTCCACAGTGACACACTTCCTCCAAGAACACACTTCCTCCACAAAGCCGCACCTCCTAAGAGCGGCACTCCTTTAGGGGCCATTGTTTTTCAAACCGCCACACACCCTCGGTCCTCTCTTCCAGCTTCAGGGAGGACCTTGACCGAGAAGCCAGATCATGTGCAGAGGGGAGGGACAGCCACATAGAAGCACTGAGCGCAGACAGCGCCAGCAGAACCGCTCTGAAAGCTGGGCGGATGTCTGCCGAGTTCCCTGAGTTTGATCTCCTGCCCCAGGCAATGTCACCCTCCCACGGGAGTTTTAAGAAACCTAGTTGATCTGATGTGTCACAATGGCTTCTGTGGGCATCGTGGTAACTGCCTTGTTCCTAGCTGTGACAGGGGACAGGAAGAGCCGTGAGCCTCACACCTCCCACTCTGCACACAGAGTTTCTGTGCCCGGTCAGGACTGACTCAAGCTGTGAGGTCTACCCCTAGTACTTCTTCTTGGAAGTGCCACCTATACTGTGACCCCTCCCCAGGAGGGCCAGAGCCCAAGGGTTGGGATGTCAGTACTGTCTCCATATATCACAACTCAAAATAAATGAGGAATGGCTTTGGAGGGCTTTGGGAATGGACAGGGAGCTCAATACCCTGATAACCCAATTACCGGTGCACTCCTGGCTTCACGGTGCTTCCTGGCCCCCACGGCCTCCCTTCCGGCTGAGCCTGCCTCAGTGTCTCCACCTGTGGCTCTGCTTCTCACCCTCTCACCTGTGGGGAGTTCTGAGACCCTGTGCTGACCCTACCTTGATCAGTTACCCCATAGCCAATAAACCAAAGACAGGACAAGCCGCTGAACCAAAACTGCAGCTAAATGATTTGGGGGAGGCCATTATGCATACTTATGCCACCCCACCAAAACAGAACAAAACACGACTCAGTATATTTGGTGAAATTCAGGTTTGCCCAGTGCTCCAGACTCGATGTAGAACTCATACCTGAGTCTGGCTGCTGGTCCCTTAACACCATGGGTACCCTGGGCAGCTCAGAGTCTAAACCAACCGGGTGGTGGTGGCACACACCTTCAATCCCAGCATTCAAGAGGCAGAGGCAGGCAGATCTCTGTGAGTTCAAGGCCAGCCTGTCTATAGAGTGAGTTCCAGGACAGCCAGGGCTACACAGAGAAACCCTGTGTCAAACAAACAACCAAGAAAAAAAAGGGGGAAGGAGGGAAGGGAGGGAGTCCCAAAGCACCCAATGTCTCCCCAGCTTCCTCTGATTGGTGTCTTGGTGACCTGAGGGCGGCAAGACAGAGTGACAGCAACAGAAGCAACAGCTCCCACAGCGCAGCTGCTAACACCAGCTGCGGGTCCTCTCCCGCCAGTGCCCTGTACAGGACTCACCTCGGTCCTTAGAAGACACTATGAGGAGCTGCTGTGGGCTCATTTTACGGATTGAGAGGCGAGGCCTGAAGAGGCCCTGGCCATACACTGTATCCTGGGTTCTGCCCTCCCCGGAACCTCTTCACCGTTCCTTCCTCACAGTGGCACCAACTGCTGGCCCTTCCCTGGCACCTGGCTGCTCCAGAACCACCCACCCAACTGCAGTCATGGTTCAGGAAGATCCTCTAGCCGTGACGTGAACGTGACATCAAGAGATGGGGAAGCGAGGATCCCACCCCTGAGGAGGAGAAAGTCCAACATTACTCGCTGACTAGCCTCTCAGAGTCAAGAGGCTCCAGCAGCTGTCACAAATGTCAAGTCCCCATGCGCAAAACACGGAGTCACTGATGGGTGCAGGATGAGTGTCTGATGCTTCCTGCTCCCTACACGATTTCGGGAAGCCTGGTCCACAGACTTGGTAGGGCAGAGGACTAGAGAGGATATGTTACGTCCACAGCCACCAAACTGAAAATCCTAGCAGCCAGGGGAGGATAGGTGTTGGGGTGTGGGGAGGAAATTTGTGTCTTGGCCCATGAGGTAGTAATTCAACATCAAATTAAATAGTGCTTAGATAATTGCCCAGAAAAAATAAAGTAGATACATAATGTCATAAACAAATCTTTAAAGCTATTAAAGTTTAGAAAATATTTAATGACCTCCCGGTAGCGAAGACTTTTAAAGTGAAACACAATGAGGGAGCACAAAGAGAAAAATAACCAATGGATACAGCCTTGGAAACTCTATAAAGGATTGAAGTTAAATAGCAAAGTTTAGCATCTGGAGAGAAGGCTCAGTTGCTGGGAGTGCACGCTGCTCTCACAGAGGACCTGAGTTCATTGCCCAGTGCCATTGTCAGGCAACACTCAAGTGCTTGTACCTCCAGGGCTGGGGGCGCCTGGCACCTCTGAGGGTACCTGCACCCATGTGTACAAACCCACACACAGACACACAACTAAATCATGTCTTTGAAACAAATGACAAAGTGAGGCACGTTTGCAACAGACAAGAAAAGAATGGATCAAGTCACAGAAACACAGCTGAGGGGAGACACAGCTGGGCCGCGTGTGCAGACACTCCTCAGAGAGTCCTCCTCGGTCGTGGGTATCTGTTAGGACAAGCCCATTCACAAACAGTGACTGGGTTAACACCCAAGTCAGCTGGTGCAGCCTCTCTCTGAACTCAGTGGCATCCAATCAGTTGAAAGTAACAAGCCCAAGTCCAGCACACCTCCCAGGAGAATGCCCGGCATGTCGAGGACAGGGACCTGCACCGTGGCAGAGGCAGGCTGGGGCTGAGCCTGATGTCCTCTGTGTGTTCTCTATCTTCTCTGTGCCCACTTTCCTGAGCAGCAGAGCAGGCTCCTTCCCTTCACGCATCTTTTGCGTAGTCCCTGAAAAGACATGAATAAAATCACTTGCATCCCACGTGGCGAGCAATATGCTTAATAGACAGCCGCTAATCTTGTTGGGACTTAATTTGCGGCAGGAAACGCTGGTCATCTGCCAAGTGCCCATCAGCACGGAATGCAAATGCATGCCTAGATGTCCACGTGCCAGGTGCACTGAAGCACTTAGCAAACACGGAGAGCAGACCCGCGCCGTCAGCATGGACGCCTCTTAAATGAAAAGGAGTAAAGAGAGGAATTAGAGAGTGGCACTCCCACCACAATCCTATTTACATAAATGTTTAAGCACATAAGACAATAGAACATATTGTCTACAGAGCTCATTGAAGGAGAGGGATAAACACGGACTAAGTGTTCCCTGATTCATGGAGGCTAGCTGCTTCCAGAAAGGGGCTTTCCTGGTTAGGTGGCTGGAATTCAAGGGTCTGTGATGAAAGGCTTTCTAGAGTTTGTTGTCAATATTCTTGTTCAGATGGTCTAGCCCTGGATACCCCACATTCTGTGTTCCCTCTTGGTCCCTTCACCTACTACTCCCTCTCCCACCTACTATTCCGTCTTCCATTTCTTCTGGAATCTTCTCAGACCAGGTCTAAACTTTGCTTCTGGAGAGACCATCCTTTTTCTCCAGTCACTTCTGCCCTATCCTGTTTTCTGGGCTCTGTGGTGATCTCATGATCACTTTTCCAGATCACTTTATCATTAGACTTCACTAATTCCTATGTCAACTTTAGGGACCACAGACCCTGTCAGAGTCTAGACTATAGCAGATCTCTCACTCGTGGAGCTCTGATGAATGAATGGATGGGTGGGTGGGTGGATGGATGGGTGGATGGATGGACGGACGGACGGACGGATGGATGGACAGAGGGGAGGGTGAAGAGGGCTGGGGATGCGGATGGGATAGCCAACCTGGCTGGCCAACCTACGGTGACAGTCTAGGTGCTATTTGGTGGCTGCCAGTGCTGCCGGCAGTGATGGACAAGGTGGCATGATGCAGAGACAGCAGCCCATCCTCCTGCACCCATCTGGTCACTTGATTTACAACACAGTCCAGGCCACTCAGTGAAGCCTGACAGTGAGTGCTTTCTTAATGACCATGTTGCAGAAGCAATGGGCCCTGGCTCTCCCCTAGAAAATGAAATTCCTCCCAAGCATTGCAGCAGCTAAACTCACTGCCTGATTCCTGGGATCCTCCCATAGCACCCTACAGCTCTGCAGCTGAAAGGGACTCAATGAGCCCTGAAGGTAGCACATTCGCTCCTCTTCTTGTCTCCAAGGGGTCATCCCGGGGATAGATGATGCTCCTGCAGATAGCCCAAACCCATGTGCCCCAGGTGCCTGAACAGAAGGGACAGTAAACAGTTGCTTGCCAGATCCTCAGGGAACCCATAACAGGCTCCCAGGAAACAAAAAATGAGGACGGTCATAGCTTTAGCTCCAGCATCCCAGCTTGGTCCTTGTCTGTGTCCTGGTTCCTAGCCGTTGTAGAACACCGTGCATGACCATTCCTAGTGCGCTGATGGGCCCTCTACCACCATACTCAGCTTCCTCCATAGACACCTTCAGCCCCACCCTGCTCAGACACATTGACTCTGCCTCCAGGCGGATGCTGTACCATCCCACCCACTGCTGGATTAGTGGCCCAGTGAGGACCCGGTTAGCAGGACAAAGGAGGCACCAGGTAATCACAGAGCTCCCAGGAGGTCCCTGGGAGGGAAAGAGGGAGTCTACAAACAAGTCAGTATAAGGGTTTCTGCCCCCCCACCCCCTCAGCTCCATTCCTCGCTGATGTCATCAAATAGCTGACCTCTCAGGAAATGAAAAACCCCTGCAGTAAAATGACTCGGGTGGGATATAGCCAAGGAGCTCACGTAGTCCAGGGACCTCTCAGGGTCTGACACATGTGTGACATCATCACAGTCAGCTCCACCTCATAATCGTCTCTAGTCCTGTCATCACCATGCCCACTGTCTCCTTCACATGAGCAGCACTAGCGCCACCATCGCCACCATCGCTGTCACCCGAAGTACCGTTGCCACCACCATCATCGTTATTGCCACCATCACCCTCGTCACTCCCATCAAAAGCACTGTCACTGTTACCACCGCCGTAATCGCTATCACTACCACCACCGTTCGTACCGGCAATGTCACCCTCACCACCATCACCATTTTCAGTCACCACAGCCATCACCACCACTCCTACCCTTACTACAATCATCTCTGTCGTCACCATCTCTACTGTTATCACCATCAGCACCTCTGCCATTTACCATCTCGGCCACCGCCACCGCCACCGCCATCACCACGATGGGCAATTCCTGAGTGTCCACACACTCCTGGGACGAGGCATGGAGACTGCTCTAGCAGTGTTTGCTCTGCAAATACCTTCTGGGATTTCTGTGGGAGTGTACTCGGTCGGTAGTCCGCCAACACACTGTGTCACTGTGCCCCTGTCACCTGGGGCTCAGACCACAGCAACTTTAAGCACTGTGCTCCTGGCAACATGATTATAAGCAGGACCAATCACTTCCTTTTGTACCACGAGCCTCCATAAGGGCCGCCAAGCCTGCCATATGGCACTACTCTATTTTTCCTAGCCCCCGAGATGGTAACAGGCTTTCCTGGGAAAGCCTGGGAGATGAATAGGTACGCAGGGGTTAGTGCAAGGGGTGCTCTGTGCAGTGCCCTCAGGAAGTGGACAAGCAGCTGCATTCTGGAGCGTCTGGGTGTGCCTGACTGCTGGGGCCTCCCAGGCTGTGCTGGCCCTACGGAGTTACCAAGCAGAAGCAAGATCTTCTGCTCTTGAGCCAGACACTGGATGGTCTGTTCAGGTGTGGCTGAGGACAGAGTCCACTGAGATGGTGTGTGTGATTACCTGGGGGTGGTCATCTGCTGGTGCTCACTGCAGCTGCACAAACGGGGCTCAGTTCTGCAGGACCTGGACGGTCATTGGAGGAGGGTCTGGGATTTCCACCTGCCTGTCAACCACAAGCACGAAAAAGGAAGGGAGACTCCAAAGAGGCTAGATCAGACCACAGAGCACCAAGGACCTCCACTGCTGACCTCTGACCTCCAGTGGCCAAAGACTCAGGAGTGGAGAGCCTGCCTAACCTTCTCCTCATCCTTGTCTTTCTCCTGCTGAGTGTCCCATCCTGACTGCTCAGACCTTCCCGGTCTTCACAGATGTGTGCCCGAGGCCCAGTGGAGCCTCCCCTGGAAGCCTGTTCCACACATTCCAGTTATGTCAGGGTCAAGTCAATCTGTGACTTTCCATAAGCTTGCACACATCTTCCACTCAGACTCAGGGTCACCGGGGGCAAGCGATGTGGTCCAAACACACGACTAAAAGTGAGGAGAGAAGGGAAGACAACTCAGATGCTAGCAGCAGCCACAGAGCTGGGGTATCTCTGAGGCCAAAGACCTAAAGGAAGACCCTCCTCCCCCTAGTTCCTCCTCCCCCAGTCCCTCTACTCCTCCTCCCTACTCCCCTCCCCTACTCCTCCCGCTATCCCTCCCCCTAGTCCCTCCTCCCCCTAGTCCCTCCTCCCCTACTCCGTCCTCCCCCTACTCCCTCCTCCCTCTACTCCCTCCTCCCCTAGTCCCTCTTCCCCCTAGTCCCTCCTCCCCTACTCCCTCCTCCCATGAGCCCTTCACAGCTTCCCCCACTTACCACTGTGGAGATGGACCCTGGGAAAAGCCACTCTCGATTCCATCAGCCTTCAGGCCTTGGGCGGCAGAGGACATCAGGGGCATGAAGGCCCAGACACCCCCCTTGGGCACCGCATGCCCACGTCAGGACGGCTGAGTGACTCCACGGTCCACCCTCTTTCTGGCCGGATGGAGAGGGAGTGTGACAGGCCCGCCATGGCCCCGGCTGTGAGGGCCGCCCTCCATGTCTTTTGACAGAGTGGTGCCTCGGGAAATGCCCGTGCTGTTGTCATTTTTAAGTGACATCCCACACCTGTGAGGCCACCCTGGGGTCTTACGTGAACTGACAGCTTCCATGGAAGGAAGAGAAATCATTCATCTTCGGTTTCCCACAAGTGCATATCCTCTGGAGACCACTGAGTGCTCTGTGCTGGGACCAGGTGCCCAGGGTGTGCACCCAGCCCTCACCCTCACCCTTGAGTGTGCCACCCTGACGACTCCTTTCAACTTTGTTTCCTCCCTTTCAAAGAGAGCGTGACTTGGTCTCACGCCAAGGGCACTGTGAGGACCATGTCAAGGCAAGGTCTCCAGACAGCAGCCGCATGCCCTGCACCAGACCTGATGTGAGTGCAGCCAACACACAAGCAACAACACTGGCAACTCCACACCCCAGTGGTGCAACAGCACAAGGGTACCATCACCAGCGTGGCGGCACTGTCCTCAGCGCTGACATTGTCATAAGCAGCATCACCAGCCGCAGACCCGTCCCGGCACTGTAATGCTCACACCAGCTCCACACTGGCATCAGTTCCAGCAACACCAACAGTGTCCGCGGCACTGGCACCAATACCACACTGCCACCAGCACTGAAATCAACTACAGCGCTGGCTGACGTCAGCGCTGGCTGTAACCGTAGTGTAGGCGACAGCACTGAAAACATTGCCGCCGTCAACAACGCTGCCCACATTCTAGCCCGCCAACAGCAGCACTGAGAGCACCGGCTGACTACAGCCCTGACACCGCCAGCCTCTTCCCCAACATTGGCACCCGAGATGGTGCCGACAGCGACACTGACAGCCACGCTACCCCGATGACAGGAGAGACAATGACGAGCGCAACCCTACCGATGACTTCTCAACAACCTTTACCACGACAAGGCAACTGCCCCAACAGTGCCAGCGTGGACAGCTGTCCCTGAAAGCCCACACCACATGGGTGTGGCCAGTTTCACTACTTAACAGGAGGTGTGTCAAACACACTCCGCTGTGGACCTCATGACAGCCGTAGGTACCGAGTCTATGTTCATCTCACTTCATAACCAGGAGCCTGTGGCTTGGAGCAGACGCGGCCAAGGTCACAGCCAAGAACTAAGGCAGCTGGCAGGAGCCTGGGCCTTCACACTGCTCAGCGCTCAGAGGCCTCCTGCTCTAAACCCCTGTCCCACCACCCAGGAGAACAAGAACCCTCCTGGAGACCGCTCCTGAGGGGCCTGCAGGCCCTGGGAGAACTAATGTGAGTTGTGACAGGAGAGTGAGCAACCAGGTCATGGAGGGTCACGGGGGAACAGGGCAGGGAGCAAGGTCATGGAGGGTCACGGGGGAGCAGGGCAGGGAGCAGCGACAGTCACCAGCTGGCTTCAGTCATTCTCTTCCCCACTGCCTCCACTGCCTGCACATCCTCACAGCTCCTGGCTGCCATGGAAGCCTCCAGGGCAGGGGCAGGTGTGTCTCTCCAAAGGAGCTGTCCTCTTCCTTCTGTGGATGTTCCGGAAAGTTGCACCACACACTAGAGCACCGCAACTCACGCCATCACTTTTAAAATCCCAGCGGCAGTGAGCACTCCTCACGCAGGACTGCCCTCTCCAGACATCCCTGATAAACCGGGTGGGGCTCGCATGCACTAGGAGCTTGAGAACATCTCTCGGGGAAGGGACTGTGATTGAGTGCCCCCAGATATGATGTCCCCCTGACACTGTCCTCCCCTCCCCAAATGACACAGGAAGAGGGATGCTGGATGCAAGGCCAGGGGAAATCCATTTCTCATTTTAGAAACCCTAGGAAAGCAATTTCTTCTTTCAGGTCTCATTTTCTTCCTCATTTACTCCAACATGCAAATGCCTTGTGGGGCAGCATGCTGCAGGAAGCTTTGGCAGGCAGGCAGACATCCACCTGCCTTGAGTGCTCACCTCAGCTAGCCTGGTGACCTCAGGCCCTGGATGGACTTAGTCAGCTTCCTCTCCAGGCCTCTACTCATCCCTCTAAGGCAGTTGGCTGTGGGGTTTTGCTGCCTCATGATGGAGCCTGGAACACCAAAGGAGTAAGCAAAGACGTATAGTGAAACGATTCCCCATCCGGAGAGGGAGCCCATAGACACCACATTTTAGCACATTCTATGCTCCGTCTGTGTCACATGTCCAAGTCCAGCACAGGCAGGCAGGAGCATTCACTCCTGCTACCCGAGGCTCTGTGCCCATTATTTGATGGAAGGCATAGATGTGCCTTCCCCATTCAGGGAGTAATCAGTGAACAGCCTGTCAACTCCAAGGGATAAACAAGATGCTGCTAGGAAATCAGAGGTGCAGAAGGAGCCCAGAAGTCTGTGGGGAAGGGCATTCATGATCTCCATCACCACCATCCTTCCCGGACACTTAGCTCCCCAAACCTACAAACCCACAGCCTGGCTGTGTCATCATCACGGACCACCTCTGGACTGACCCTAAAACAGATTTGACTTGCTCCAGGATCCACCAGTGGTGTATCCTCCATGTGTAGGACTGGTCTCTCAAGTCACCCCTGGGAGACCAAGGAACGGGCAGTGACCCCAGGGGGCCTTTGAAAAGAGTGTTCCCTCACATCCTTAAACATCTGACCGAGAGGAAAGGAACATGTGACAACCAAGAGCCTGCCTCGTGCCCGTGTCTGTACACCCTGCACAATGCCTCATCACACTCATGTCCCAGACCCCCCTTCTCCTGACTTCTGCCCCCATCCCTGCTGCCCGCCCCTATGATAGACTGGAAGCCCAAGATCCAGCTAGAGGACACTAGCTGGCCACAGACCTGGCTTTAGAGAAGCAAAGCCACACCTGTCGTTAAGTCCTACAGCGCCAGCCTGTGCCTCCTGGGCCCTGGGACTTCCATGTAGCCCTGACTCCCCCACCTAGAAGAAGCCCTGCCTCTCCGAGGAAGACCTGTAGACAACGTGGAAGGTGTAGGTGACACAATACTGCTGTCACTAC